TTGTTGTCTTATATCTACTTTTTTTAAGATAGTAGATAACTAAAGTGACCTTAGGCAGTGAACACTTTTTGTAATTTCACTTGTTACTGTATTATAACTAAGTCAGAAGGCATTTTTAAAGAAAACTTAACAAAGAAGATTTAAGACAATTTGCAATTATAAAAGAGGCTACAATTAAAAGTATATAAGAATACTACTAACTGCTTAGTTTAGATAATATAAAGTAGAGTTTATTAGTAAAAGAGTATGAAGACTTGATGTTGAATTTGAGCACCACATTGATTGCTTTTATACTTTTTGGCTATATAGTGTATATAAAGGCCTATATTATTTGTATATACAAGATATTTTACAATTACTATTAATAAAATAAATAAGATATGTTTGATATATAAAATAGATAAAATAAATAAACTAAATAATATATATAAACTAAATATAATATGTAATATATATGCTTCAAAACATATAAATGTTATATATATTATATATATAATATTTTGCACAGTAATCATTCAACTAATTAAATAATAGTTTTCTTATTAATTTGGTTATTGAATTTGATCTTGTGATTCTATAATCAAAAATAGATAAGTATATCTCATTAGAACTGTCTCAGTAAGCTGATTCAAATAGTGGTAGTTTTATCAGATTTTGTCTAGTGGTTCAAGAGTTATGATTATTTTTGTAGGTTAACACTATAGATATTATTTGTAATAATAACAGTCTTATTTTCATTGTTGCTGTTATACCACCTATACATAACTGTAATTTGAATATTATCTTTTTAATCTTGTATAACCTGCAATCTATTTAACATTTAAGCTAATAGCATTCTATTAATTATTTATTCTTTATTAATAAAAATGTCTACTTTTTAAACTTTTTTCTAATATATAAGTATTATTTTTATAATTTAACTGAACAAATTTTAGTGTTTGTAATTTTGATTAAAATAAATTTTTTATTATTTTGTTGGTCTGTTTTAGACTAGTTTATACAAATTTATAAAAGATTATTCTCTTTTCTAAAATCACTTTTAGTAAGGACAGTTAGCTTACTTGTTCTATATAATATATATAAGCTAATTGCTACTAATGCACAATCTTATATCTATATTTTATAATTTCTATTATTAGAAGTTATTTATATAATTATTTAATGCATTAACTATTAATATGTTATGAATAGTGTTACAGCCTAAACCAAAACTTTTGGCTAAGCAAAACTTTTGAAACCTTAGAAACCTAGTTTTATCCAAGGTGCCAAGTTTGAAACTGATCAAAACATCTGAAACTAGGTGAAACTAGGCGAAACTTCTGAAACTGGACGAAATGTCTGAAACTGGGTGAAACTAAGTGAAACTAGGCGAAACTTGATCTTATCTCTATCAAAATTAACATATAACATGACTTAGACTTCAATACAATGATTTTAAAAGTCATGTGACCTCTGCACTTAAATTAACTACCCAGGATCATTGTCAAATTTTCACTTTTACATGATGATAATCCAATAGTATGTTTCATTTTAATGTAATGTTACATAATTAGAAAGATTAAAACAAAATGATTGCTTTTCAAAAATTGCTTATTCCTCAAAAACTAGCATAAGGAACTACCTTTTAAGCTTTAACAAAAAAAATTTCTTGAGTAATTTTACTATTATCCTTCTAAAACCTAACTCTATTATAAACACTAACCCTAACTTAAATGAATTTAAAGATTTTTAAATATGGTCACATGAAAGTGAAAATTTTGATAGTGATATTTGGAAAGATACTTAAATTTGGGAGATTGATACAGACACAGCTTATTGACACAACAAATGACCAGCACTAACTTTAATAATACAGCATGACCTGCATTATAGTTAAGGTTAGTGTTAGAATATGACAGAATTAAAGGAATTATGTCATGTGCTGCTATGTCAGTAGCAATCCCCAATTCCATTGGTCGATTTTATGTGTTGCAGTCACATGACATTTAGAAATTTCATTGGTCAAATGGAATTTCCAAAAGTCACGTGACCACTGCACCTAAAATTGACCAATGGGTTTTAGAAATTTCATTAGTCAATTTTAAATGCAGTGGTCATGTGACTTTTAAATATTGTTGCATTGAAGTTTGCATCATGTAATATGTTAATTTTGATCAAGTTTCACCTAGTTTTACCCAGTTTCAGATTTGAGGTAAAACTAAAACTCAAAAGCTGAAACATTTTGGACTTTGGTAAAGGGTTTAAGCCATAGCACTAGTTATGAAGTCATATAGCTTTCTTATTAATTGCAACTAGCTTGATTAAAATTTTGCTAGCTATTTTACTTTATAACATTTTGTAAATTTTAATAAGTTTTGTATATTGTGCTGATTTGATATTATTATTAATACTAATAAAAGTTTTAATATTATATTATATATATCTAATCAAATTAGATATGCTAGTAAACTTTTCTAAAATGCTAGCAAGGCAAATAACTTATATATACTATAAAAGTTAATAAAATCTTTTAAATCTACTTTTAATTTATAATTATATAATGATTTTAGTAACAGAATATTATATGTCTATATTAAAAAGTTATTTAGAACATTATTTGTATTGCTATAAACCACCAATTTTAGTTTATTAATAGTTTAATTAATCTATTTATATTTGAAAAAAAATTTTTTCTGGATTAGAAAATAATATTTTTTGATGCAAATAATGCAATATAATTAGTTATCAAGGTGCTAAAATTCAAATCAGTACAATAATTGTTTTTATTGTCTAATTTTTAATTATATAATGAAAAACTCAATATAACTATCCTAAAGATATACAAATATAATTTATTTCTTTTTTTAATTTGTGTAAAACAATTAATTTGACAAATTCATTATAAGTTGAATTTTGCAAAATAAATTAAATATTTACTTGCTATTTATTCTATATTATATGAATTTTACATCTGATCTAATAGTTTAAAAACTTTTTTAAACTTAAATCTGATTTATTAAAGTATTTTGTAAACTTATTTGCTAGATTTTTTTCATTTGGCACTCAATAAACTTATATATCCAAATATCTATTTCACTACAAAGGTTCCAAACCTTGCTTATATATTATTTTTATTATAATGTTTTTTTTTGATTTTATTATCTTTTTTGTCTATAAATATTGTAATTCAATGATAAGCAAATTCTTTTTAAATAATCATATACCTAACTATACTATCTTAGACTCTAATTTTGCTATATTTATATATTAACAAAGAATGTTGTTGACTAACTAATTATTGAAGCATCTATAAATAATAAAAGTATATACAAAAATTTTTATACTAAGCAATTATTTTTTTTTTCTAAGTTTTGAAATAGTTAAATTGTATTCTTCTTTGCTCCTATTAATAATTTTATTCTTCAATTCTATGCTTAAAATTTACTGAAGCAATTGCTCTGCTTAAACTTATTAATATGCCTATTACTAAGACTAAGGATTATGCTATAACTTTTCTTATACTACTAAATGCTTTAATATTTTATTTTATTGTTTTTATCTTTTTATTAGATATTACTACTAATACTTGTAATGTATTTAAAATTAAACTATAAAATCTGGATTTTTGGATTATTTTCCAACTTTTTTTTTTGTTAAGACCAACCTTTCTGATTTTAAATCTAATTTAATTATATAATCTATTTAATACTTTAAAATTTTAATATTTGAATGGGTAATCCAAATATTATCTACATGATTTTTGCAATAAATTGACTGCCAATGCCTAATTAATGGCTATATTATTATTGAAAAAACCCAAACGATTTAACTTAGATTAAATAGTAATACTTGATAATAAAATCATTTTTCTTTGAACCTAAACATTAGCAGCCTTTGCATATTTTCTGTTATTACAAGATGATAGTACCTATTTTTGAAATCTAATATTATAACTTATCAGTTTTTTTCAATTGTTTGAATAAAAGTCTTTAGCTCTTCAAAATAAAAGGATTTTTTAAATAATGTTTTATTTAATCTCTGCAAGTCTATAATAAGTTTTTATTTTTTCAATCTTGATTTCAATATTGCAAATATAGAAATATAGAACTTATTTTCAATAGACCATCTAATTATTTGGACCTTTCCTAATTATCACTATTGCTTGCTTTCTTACTAGTTATACTAGTTCTTGTTTTAACCATCTTATATGCTTTTGTGAGAACTAATATTGTCTTAAAACTTCTTTTAATGCTAACTGAATTAAACTTTTCAGAAATAGTAAAATTTCAAATTTGAATCAGTTTAGAATTAGAGGTAATGTTTTTATTTTTTTTCTTTAGTACATTATTGAAGCTGATTTTGTTTAAATTTTCTACTATTAATTATTTGAAAGCCTAAGAATAGTTAGCTATTATTTCTGCTTTGTACAATATATCTAGTTATCTTCTAAGATTATACTAATTTTTTTTTCAGTAGACATTTGTTTGATTTTAAGATATAATTATTTGCACAATAACTTAAGTCACCACAGTTATAACATGAAAAAACATTATTTCTATTCTTTTTTATACTTTAAAATCTATTTTTTTTCTTTCTGAGTAATTGAACTTCTGTCTCTAATATTTTAACTTGGACCCTTTATAAAATTCCAAATCTTAAAAAAACTGTCTGTTATTAAATACTTTCTTTTCCTTTATTTAATGTTAGTTGCTTGCTTCATCTGTTTTATTGTTTTGTTATTTACTAATAAATCTTTATGCTTTGATTATAATAACTTAATTACTACTTCCCAACTATACTATCTTACAATATTTAGAAAACTGTTCTATCAAGTATCTTTGCTCTTATATTTTCAATATGCTGGATTACTTTATCACCTATTAAGATATTTAATATCAAGTTCAAATTATGTCCAATTGCATGCAAAGCATTAGATTCAAATTGATTTCTTGATCTTTTAAACTTTACCTCTGATCAATTTTTATAGATTTTCACTCTTATATTTGATGCTTCAACTCATTCTAAAATAATATTAATATTCTTAAATATTTTATCTCTCTTAACAATGCCTTTATTTCTGTCACATCCTTAGACTCTTTTTCTATCTTTTTGTTTTCTTAATACATCAATAGTTTGAGTAACATATCAAAAAATAAAATTTCCTTATGAAGACTATCTTTTTGGTTGGTTTCCTCTTCAAAGTGCATACCAACAAATATCTCACTTTTTATATTTTCTTCACTCCCACTCAAAAGGTCCAAAGGTGATTGAGTCAAATTATCAAAACACTTGAGATGTTCTATCAGGTTGGCCTTTTTCCCTTCTGTGCTTAAGTTTAACCAGGTGCAGAGGTTTTTTAATGTTTTCACTAACATGTATAAATAATGTACATCACTTTGACGTGATTCGATTTTGTCCCCTACTTCTAGTAACTCTGCAGTTTGCTTATAAACCTTCCCTAGTGCCATGCTACGTAAAGTGCAGTAGTAGAACTTAAATAATAAATACTTAGTATTACTCTAATATATTAAAGAACCTTTCGATTAGCCAGAAATTAAGGTTTCAGGCAACTTTGAAAAGCAGCAAAAGAAAAGCACAAATTTCATTCATGAATTTATAACTTATTTATACTTATTATTAGACTTGCTAAATCAATGACCTAATTAGGGATGTCAACGGTCAGTCACGGACGGTTTCAGTCGGTCATCATCAGTCATGAGTCATGACCGAACCAACTTCAGTCATGACCGATGGGTAATTTAAAATTTTAATATCCGGTGTGAGCGGTAGGCAGGCGGTGCCGGAGGCTCGTTAAAGCAGGTGATCG